TACTCATGTCCCATGCGCACGAAATTTACTGTTTCTAGACTCGAACTACCTGAAGGGTGGGTTGTGGGGTTGGCGAGCAGTGTCACGAGGACGGCGGGGATAAGGTGGTCCTTCCCCAGATGACTCTGGAACCCGGAAGGTTAGCGCACTAAATTGGGGCGAGAAAGTCCTCGGGGTTCAGTTTCCGAGGGCGCTAGTTACTGACCCAAGGAAAGGAGAGCCCAGGTAGATAGTTCTAGTTATCTTAAATCCGAAGCCACCTTTGGAAACTCTCCCTTCAGAACTCAGCAGAATTACAACTCTTGGACCGTCTGGGAAAGAAACAAGTATAGATCAAAATCCCACTGGATGCCCCTGGTTTGGAAAATTCTCTTTCCACCCACCACCCCTGAAATGATCAGGTTGATGAGGTTTTGTCTTACAAAGGGAGGGTGGGCAATAGAGCAGTTTCACAGTAAGTATTTTTCATTGTGGGCCATCACCTTACCCCACTGTGTTTATCTTTTCTTTCAAAAAAACCTCATAAGTAGACCCATTGCTGTAGCTTTAAAACATAAAGTGGCGAGTGGAGCGTTGGGAAGGAGGTACAGCTGAACTTTCTTCAGCAGCTATGAAAGGAAAGATCACCACTCACCAGCATCCATAAAGCAACACAAATCTGGCAGGGCAGTGGTTGCAGCTTCTCTGACAGCCTCTCTTGAGGCCTGGTAACATAGTGTAACCAACCTATCAATTCATTCCAAACAGGGAACTTTTTGCTCTCATAAAAGGCAGCAGCCAGAAATGAGCACATTCTAAAACATTTCACAGACTTTTCATTCCCAAAGTTGCCTTATTTGAACATTGGAAGGAACTTCTACATGATATAAAGATCAAAGTTTAAACATATCAAATAGGCACTTTTTTCCTGGAGACTTGCTCCAGTTCTCTCCAAGGTACCAACCTTGTCTTGCAGGGTGACAGTCCTTAAGGTAGCCCAGTAGATGGCTTCTCAGCCCAGAGTTTATTAACCAATGTTGGGATGGAGTAAGACCATCAGTTTATTTGTGTAATAATTTCACCAGATGAAAAATGGAAAGAATTTTGGCTTTATTATTTGAATTGAAAAAAAAATCAATAAAAATAAAATAATTTGGATTTCATCAAAATTTAAAACTTTGTGCTTTAAGGACACTATCAGCAAACCCACAGAATGGGAGAAACTATTTGCACATCATATTCTTGATATGCAGTTGATATCCCAAATATGTAAAGAGCTCCTACAACTCAACAACAAAGCTCCAAATAAACCCTTTTTTGAAAGGTCAAAGGACTTAAATAGATATTTCTCCAAAGAAGAGATACAATAGGATATATAATGAGGCCAATAAGTACATGAAAAAATGATCAACTTCATTGATCATTAGGAAAATGAAAATCAAAACCACAGTTAGATAGCACAAGAAATTTAGAATTCTTGTACATTGCTTATAGGAATGATGGAGACACTGGGGAAAAAATCATGGTGGTTTCTCAAAAAAAATTGAGCACAGAATTACAATATGATCCAGCAAAACTGCTTCTGGATGTATGCTCCAACATACTGAAAGAAGGAACTAGAATAGATATTTATACATCCATGATTTTAGCAGCATTATTCACAAGAGCAACCAACACATTAACAGATGGATTAAAAAAAGATTGTGTATACATACTATAGAATATCATTCATCCTTAAAAAGCAAGGAAATTCTGTCATGTTACAGAATGAACCCCTGCAGGTGGAGTCTAAAGGTTCTCTGCCTGGCATTTCTTCTGAGCCCCACTCTGGAGGACACAAGGGCTGACCACATGCAGGTCCTCATTTGGAGGGGGTTTCTGTGGTCAAGAGCTCTGAGAGGAAATAAAGATTGAGCAAGGGGTCATGGAGACAAAAGAAAGGTAAAGAAGAGGAAAACACTGGGCTCTCCCCCGTGGCACAATAGGTTAGGACAAGACACTGCAAGCTGGCCACAGCCGCAGCCCCTTCAGTGCCAGTTCAATCCCTGACCCCGGAGGTGACCCACATGGCACAACAGACCTCTCCTGTCTCTCTTGCTGCTCCCTGCAGCGTGTACTTCATCGATCTGCCTGTTCTGCTCCCCACTCTGTCTCTGGTGTATCCTCTCACCACCCCTACACCTCTGGCCAGGACCCCAGTTCTGTATGTATAAATAAATAAAAAAAAAAAAGAGGAAAACACTGAATGACACAGGTAAATGTGTTTTGAATTTTTCAGAAGAAATGGGCCACTGGGTCTTCAGGTGAGCTCTAACTCTCCCCACCCCACCCCCAACCCCCCAAGCAGCAGCCCAGTATTTCATTCACTTTCTGTTTATGAACCTGGAGAAGGTATGTTCTCATTTAATCCCACTCCCATTCTGGGTTTGTATTGTCTTTTTCCAAATGAAAAAGTCCAATCCTCCTTGCCTTCTTTCTTTCCTTCATCCCCACGTCTTTACTTAACTTGGTTCCTACCTTCGAAATATATCTCCACTTCTCCCTGTCTCTCCATCTCCACTGCATCCCATGCAACTACTATAGCTCATCTGGAATTCTGCAAGACCCCTCCAAGTGACCTCTCCACACCCACCTTCTCCACCCCAGGCTCCAACATACAGCTGCCAGACTGGCAAGGAAGGGCAGATGCAAGATGGGACAGGAACAAGCCGAACTCTCCAGTCTCCCAAACTCAGTGCCTTCAGAGAATTTCCAGGCTGTGATATGAAGAAGGGGGAGTGTGAGGGATTCCTTGAGTGAAGCAGAAGCTGTGAGTGCAGGGAGACCACGCAGGACAGAACAATGGGGGAGAGAGGAGCACTTACTTGTGCTTCCCATTGGGGTCCTGGGTTACCTTCATCTCTGACCATCTCTGTTTTCCCTTTTGCTAGCAAGCAGTAACTTCCAGAAACTGTTCTGGCCTCCACCACCTCCTATTTACCCACACATTTCTCCACATTACTTGTAAGGCTCCTTTTCCTTTACTTCAGCCCGGTTATTTAGCGTCTCTTCTTACATCACAGGCTTATTCCAATCTACAAAAGTTTGTTCCTAATTTTCCATCTCTGAAAATGCCCTGCTTTCTCCATTGTGTCATTATGTTTGTCCACGTCCTTTTTAAAAGTACAACTTTTCCATTTAGAAATGGATCCTGTAAGGTAAACTTAAGTATTTTTTCCCCACCCTTCTGCCATTAGCGTCAATGAGTGGCACCTGTGGTCTTACACGTACGCCTGATGGTGGCACCTGGAGTGTGGTGTGGGTGTGCATGAGTGGGCACAGCTGAGCCAGGACACTGGGTTTATAAGGGCAGCAGAGGCCTGGACAACAGAGTGAAGTAGAAACCTGTGGAGAGACCACAAGAGAATGCCAGGGAGCCCAGAAAGAGTAAATTGCTTGGGTCTAGAAGGCCTGCCGGCCTCCTCATCTTCCTGGTCCCCCTTCTTGCCCAGCACCTGGTTGCCTCACTCCAAGTAGTGTAGAAAGATCATGAAAAGCCTGTAAAAGCCACTGAGGGGGCCCTCCCTGGTGGCGCAGTGGGTTAAAGCGCAGCACTGAGAAGCTAAAGCCGCTTCCGCACGAGTTCGATTCCAGCCTGCCCTGGAGGTGACGACATGGCGTGGCAGACCTGTCCTGACCTGCCCGCTGCTCCCCTCAGCAGTGTCGATTCTGCTCCCCACTCTGGCTCTAGTGAATCCTCTCACTACACCTCTGGCCTGCACCCCAGTTCTGTATGCATAAATAAATAAACCTTAAAAAAAAGCCACTGAGGGCTCCAGGGCTCTCCTGTACCCATCTGTCCAGACCACAGAGAACCTGCCCTGTGCCATCCTGGCACTACAAACCCCTTCAGCCAGCAAGTACTCTACGGAGCACTGTACTACCTGCTTCAGAGGATGCAAACTCAGGTCAGACACAATCCTCCATCCAGGTGTCCTGAAGGTGAGACAAGTTGTTCCAAGAACGATCTACAGTAAATATAGAACATGAAGCATGGTCAGTGTCATGAGAGACACAGATCAAGTGCTAGAGAAGGAAAGAAAATAATTGCTGACCAAGGCAACATGGAAGAGTTCACTGGGACAGGGTCCTGACAGATGGTTACGATCCCTGTGAACATGGGAAAAGCTTGTTCTCTCTTTCAGTCAGTGAGGTCTGAGAACCACTAATATCAGAAGCACTCAGGAGTGTATTTTATAAAATACAGATAATTAGGTTTCACCTCAGGGAGATTTTGGGATTCCTCTGTTTTCTATCATTCCCCAGCTGATCTCCACGCTCACTAAAATTGTAGAATCATCACAACAGACAATGTCTTCCTCATCTTTGTAACAATAGCTTATCCACGGGAATAAGTGGAGACTGGATTAACAATGGAGAAATGTGCCTGAAGGATACAGAGCAAGGAAAGGAACATACATATAACACCCTCAAGACCAGCCACCCACAGGTGCTACCCATGCTCTGAAAATCAAGCCTTGGAGTAAGGGAGCAATATGAGCTAGTTGTTTTGAGAAGGATGTTGGCTTCTGCAGTTTAATCATCGGAGTCACTTCATATTCCACACTTGACAACAAATAAACCTTGTTTACTACAGTAGCCACTTCACTATAACAAAGTCCACTAAAATGTTATG